GAGCTCCAGAGCCAGGGCAACCTGCAGAAAAGTTAAGGGAGAGAGAGAGAGGACACACTACGGGAAAGAGGAGACATCCTTCCTGATAATATTGCCTAAAGGGAGCATGTATAGAGTGAAGAGAATTGGACCTAACACAGAGCCCTGTGGAACGCCGTGACTAACTTCAGTTTGTGTGGAACATTCGTCATTAACATGAACAAACTGAAATCTTTCTGATAACATGTCAACAGTTAATCAACAAGTCTTCAGCTATTCATACTGTACACAGATTTTTGATATCTTTTATGCTTTTTTGCATAATTGCTGTTTACATTTTATATTTCATTTCAATAGCAACACTAGTAGTTCTCAGTGTAGGACTACTCTCTCTCTCTCTCTCTCTCTCTCTCTCTCTCACACACACACACAGATCAATTTTTCAGCTTGTTTTCTGCTCTTATTCTGCCAACTTTAGCTTTCACACACAAATTATACATGAAAATAGCAGAGAATATTGTGAGGAATTGGAAAATGGCCTTGATATTGCAGTAGGATAAATGAATAATATGCCAGATTTTCACAATAAAAGCCCCTGAATATAAATTAAGCTCACATGAAGGCCCCAAAATGTGCCTGACTTTCAAAATAAAAGCCCCTGAATACAAAGTAAGCTCACATAAATGCCCCAAAATATGCCAGATTTTCACAATAAAAGCACCTGAATACAAATTAAGCTCACGTGAAGGCCCCAAAAAGTGCTGGATTATTTAAATAAAAGTCCCTGATTAGAAAATAAGCTCACATGAAGGCCCCAAAATGTGTCTGACTTTCAAAATTAAGACCCCTGATTACAAACTAAGCTCACATGAAGGTTGCAACATATGCTGGATTTTCAAAATAAAAGCCCCTGGTTACCAATTAAGTTCACATGAAGGCCTCAGATGTGCCTGACTTTTTAAAATAAAAGCCATTATTGCTAATTAGTCATATGAATGTCCCATGGCATGCCAGATTTTAAAAATAAAAGCCCAGCTAGCAGGACACATCACATAGCACTGTCCGTCAGACCAGCACAGGCTGGAATGTGCTTGTGGTGTTACCAGGACATTACAATGTCACTTTGAAGCATACTGGATATTGAATATAAGGGCCCCAGATTATAAATTGGTGTGACATGAAGATGTCAGATTTTCAAAATAAAAGCACCAGATTGTTAATTAAGCTCACATAACTGCCCCAAAACATACCAGATTTTCAAAATAAAAGCCCAGATTGCAAATTAATCCCCAAAACATGCCCCCTTTTTAAAATAAAAGCACTAGATTGCAAATTGAGCTCATATAAGGGATCCAAGAAATGCCAGATTTTCAAAATAAAATCTCATGATTACAAATTAAGCTCAGATGAAGGCCTCAAAATGTGCATGATTTTCAAAATAAAAGCCCCTGATTACTAATTTAGCTCACACGAAGGTCCCAAAATGTGGCTGCTTTTCAAAATAAGAGTTCCTGATTAGAAAGTAAACTCATATGAAGGCCCTAAAATGTGCCTGACTTTCAAAATAAAAGTCCCTGAGCTCACATGAAGTTCTCAAAATATGTTGGATTTTCAAAATAAAAGCTCAGATCTCGAATGAAGGCCCCAAAATATGCCAGATTTTCAAAATGAAAAGCTCACATCGCAAGTTAAGTTCATATGAAGGCCTTTTTATAAATTTACGCTGCTGTTTCAGTGATGCTTTTAAGCTCTGATTTTTTAGAGAATACCTTCCTAACTTCAGCTTTTAATATCATCTTATGCCCCAAAATATGCCAGATTTTCAAAATGAAAAGCTCACATCGCAAGTTAAGTTCATATGAAGGCCTTTTTATAAATTTACGCTGCTGTTTCAGTGATGCTTTTAAGCTCTGATTTTTTAGAGAATACCTTCCTAACTTCAGCTTTTAATATCATCTTATATACAGTAATTATTCAACTTTTTCTTTTTCATAATTATTCAACATGTTTTCAACTTCTACAATTGTTCAGCATTGAATTTCATCCTACCACTATTTCAACAAAGAACTTCAGCCATTTTTGCTCATCCTTCCACTGTTTCAGGAATTGATTTCAGGCATTTCAGCATTTTCAGGGTGATCCTTCAGCACTCAGCATCCACACGCATTTTCTTCAGGAAATGCATTTTTCTACTTCATAATAAAGTACAGCCAAACAAGACCTCAGTGGAATCAGGTTTTATTTGCAGAAATAAGGAACATTAGTTTGATACTGATGCCATTGTCAATAATTTTGCAAATATTTGGTCATAAACCACAGTAAAGCACAAATATGACTGATCATGCTGCTATATAGAACATTAAAAAATAGCAAAAGTTATTATAAATCATGCTGATATGAATGTCTGTAAATGTTGGACAACCAAATAACTGAAATTGTATTTGATCAAGCTTTGATTGGTGAATCAGTTGCATGATAAATTCACCAGTCTATCCTCAGTATGAAGAAAAAGCGCTGACTGTTTTTATTGGTCAGAAAGACATCCTCTTCATAAAAAAAAAAACAACTCAATTTTATTAAACTTATGACAGACACACAATTTCTCTTTGAATTTTGGACGTCCTTGTTGTCTCTAGATCAAGTAGCTCTGCCGGACTTCAATGCTGGGGCAATGGAGAACTGGGGTCTGGTCACATACAGGGAGACAAACCTCCTCTATGACCCCATCTCATCCTCCACCGGAAACAAAGAGAAAGTTACAGCTGTCATCTCCCATGAACTTGCACATATGGTAGGTCATGCCATTTCTGCCAAACAGTTGTCACCACTTCAGCCCCAGTTTTAGTAAACAGCAGGAAAAAAGTAAGTTTAAACAGAGGGTTACAGTATAATCAGGACATGTACAATACAGTAATGTTTTAAAAATTACCCTATGCAAAAGAGAAGATGACAGATCATCACCTTTGGACAAATGAATCCTGCACCCTTTTAGACATATTCAAAGCCTGTCATTATTTGAGAAGTGAAATTCAGTGGCGTATGCTGATTCTGTTATATCTGTTGGAACTGAACCTGACTGGCAATGTTTGCCAACAGCGTTCATGGAAACCCTATTTCCTGAGATTAACATAAGGGTTACTGTGACAGAACTCAGTTATCGTTTTATTCTTTATAAATATTGTGTGTGTGTGTGTGTTTTTTTAAAGTGGTTTGGCAACCTGGTGACGCTGCGATGGTGGAATGACCTGTGGTTGAATGAGGGCTTTGCCTCATATGTGGAGTACCTGGGAGCTGACTATGCTGAGCCCACTTGGAACATTGTAAGAGCCATGCTTGTATTTTCAAAAAAAGGGAGCCTCATATGAGAATAACAGTTGTTTCACAGATCAACAACTTCTCACAGATTTGGCTTTGGTAGAAACCCTGACCTCCTGTAACTCACCTTTGCTTGGTTGCAGAAAGACCTGATTGTTCTGTATGATATACAAAAGGTGTTTGATGTGGATGCCCTGGCTTCCTCCCACCCACTGTCCTGCCAAGAAGAGGAGGTCACCGAACCTGCTCAGATCAGTGAGATGTTCGACACCATCTCCTACAGCAAGGTCTGCTTCTCTGATAGAATTTATACAGCAGCAGATGCAGGATTTTTCCCTTTCACATTGTTCTTAGAGGCATTATAGATACTATAAATACAAATTTCCCACAAGCTTCAATTAAACTCTTATACCTTTGTTTAAGGAATTATTCATTCAAAGTCTTTTCCACTGATTCTTTGTCATTTCTAGCTGAGCCAAACACCGCCATCAGTGTAACATCTTGTTTTAATATATGCTTTGGACTGAATACAGAATCATCTGCTGTTATGAAGTTCAAACCAAGCAAATTGTAATGGTTTGTGTTTGATGTTCTCAGGGAGCGGCGGTACTCAGAATGCTGTCAGAGTTTCTCACTGAGCCTGTGTTTGCTAGAGGACTCAGTGTGAGTATTAATTCTGTTAAAAGACTCATGACTTACAGTGTCTGTGTAGGTAGGTGTTAGAGCACTGATCATGACATACTGTATCTCTGGATATGATGAATCAAACCAAAGTCATCTTTTTGTTACTCTGAGTGTGTGAGTAAACCAAAACATTATCCAAGATTAGTCACTTTCATTTCATGATTTCCATGTGAATGCTTGATCTGCTTTGTCTTTCCAGTCTTACCTGAATACATTTGCCTTTGGCAACACAGTATATAATGACCTGTGGGACCATCTCCAACAGGCCAGTTAAAAACAATCACCAAAGCTTTGTGCCTGATTTCACCTACCACTGAGTCAGTGTTTCTTCTTAATTTTCTGCTACCCTCTGCTTATTGCCAGGCAGTTGAAAACACACCAGGAATGCATATTCCAGACACTGTCCACAACATCATGAACCGCTGGACTCTACAGATGGGCTTTCCAGTGATCACTATCGACACCCAGAGAGGAAATATCACCCAGAAACACTTCCTGTTAGATCCAGACTCTGTAGTGGACAGGCCCTCTCAGTTCAAGTAGGAATCAATTTAACATTATCTTATAAGTTCCATGTAGGTGATAAATGACAAGGCTGATTTCTTAACATAGTATCCTCCATTTAGATAAATGTTTACCTCAATAATATATCACTCCTGGCTGAAGCAAAGGCACTATACAGTATGTGTTGGAATCATAATGCTGTAGGTCTCAGCAAATGTTTGCAAACAACAAGACTATAATAATAATAATAATAATAAAACTTTATTTATATAGCGCTTTACAACTCCAACGGAGTGCTTCACAGCAGAACATATGTAACTAATAAAAAAACACTACTAAAACAGTAAAACCTCAGCAAAATAAAACACAGATTTTCAAAACAGAGGCAGTAAAAAGCTTCCATATCAGGATACAAATAACATAAAACAATAAGTTAAAAGACGTCCCTTCGGAGCAACTAAGGCAGATTAAGCACCAAAAGCCTGTCTAAAAAGGTGGGTTTTTATAGTTGACTTAAAAACCGCTAAGTCGATTATGGACCATAGCTCTAGGAGTAGAGAATTCCAGAGTCTGGGGCCATACATAGCAAAAGAGCAATTGCCCCATTTTTGTGTGGATGCTGTAAAGCATCCACACTATGTCCTCCTGTTCTTCATTTATTAGCATCCACACTTTTGTAATCTCCTTCTTTATTGTATGGATGCTGATTCAGCATCCATACTATGTTTTCCAATTATTTATTATTATTGTGTGGATGCATAAGCATCCACACTATGTTATCCAGTTCTTTATTGTGTGGATGCATATGCATCCACATTATGTTATCCAGTTCTTTATTATTCTGGTTTCTACCACTGTTCAATGGGATCTAATTGGTGCAGCATACTTTCACCTAGAAGGGCCATTGAGGTATCAAACTGTGCATCTCCTTAAGGACATGTGTGCTTGTACACAACTTTTTTATAACTTTTATACTTTTTAAGATATTCAGCTTTTTTTTACAGAAATTTCCCCATTGGAAATGAATGGGGCAAAATTGGAAGCTTAATATCTCCGGCATACCTTGGGCTAGAAGCGCCATTTCAACTTTATTCAACTCGTGAGATGTTCAGCTACTAATGGTGCAAAAATCATCTTGATATCTGTTATGTTTTTTTTTATAATCGACATTTATATTTGTCCATAGACAATGCATACTCTACAGCCTTACACCGAGCAGTGAAAATATATTATTTGAAATCGCCATTGGGTTACTGTTAGGTGTTGTCGGGACCACAGAATTTATTTGGACCTTTTTCTGATTTATGAAACATGCACACTCATTTGTCTTGGTTATACACACAGCTGTCAGTGTTATCGAGATGGTATTTGCGTTAGTCACTCATTCCAGCGCATACGTCTCACTGCTCCATAGACTTAGTCAATACAGAAGATCCGCTGAAGAAAAACGTCGACATATTTGTAAATCGTAACTGTTCCTTCATTTTGTTTAATCTTGACATAATACAACAGTGGAATAGCACAACAAAGTGCAGTATATATTAAAATTGGGTGTCACTTTGATAATCGCCGTCTCTCACTCTGTCGCTCCTGACTGACTTGCAGTCAAATAATACGCGCTGGAAGGCAAACGTCTTTGTAATTATATAACGCCGCGGTTCCTTCAATCTGTTTAATATCATGACATAATACAACAGTGTGCTAACACAACAGGGTGCTCTGTTTGTTTGAAACTGAATGCTGAAATGCACGTCGGTTTTCGCTGCCTGCTTGTCTCTGCAGACGCTGTCAAAAGCTGCTTGTGAACTCGTGAGAAGTTGAACCTTAACTTCAGGAATAGCGTGGGCTAGAAACGCAGTTTTAACTGTATTCAACTCGTGATATAATCAGGCATTGATGTTGTAAATATCTTCTTGATATCTCTTACGGTTTATTTTTAATCCATATCTATATTTTGTCTACTGCTCCATTCAAAGTCAATGACTCCATTCTGTTCCAATTACCCCCGCTGTAGTGTCACGTGCCCCCTGCTCCGCTTTCCTCTGTGTGTGTTTCTCATAGATTCCTGTTTGTGCTCCTATTCTGCCATCCTTAAAGCTCTCACACACACATAATATATGAAAGTGGTAGAGAAAATTGTCAGGAATCCGAAAATGACATTATTATTGCGATCGGATGCTGCTATACCCGTGAATTGACGAAGTTAAGCTACCTGAAGTATTTTCGTGCTTCCTGCTTCGTCAAAATAACATCCGGTTTTCAAAATAATACCCGGAATACATATAAACTTAAAATAAAGAGAAATATTGCTCTGAAATCTTACTTTGCCATGAATGCCACACAATACAAATGACATATAAAGTAGATGATTAAGTAACAAGATCTAAAGCACTTTAAACAGCAAATGCAGAGATAACAATATATAAAAATATGATAAGACAGTGTATGCTGCATGTGCAGTAGTATCAATGTGCAATTATGCATGTGCAAACTGAGAATGTAACAGTACAGGTCATCATTACATGGCATATTTTCTGGTAATAGCTCATGTCAACTGTTCAGGAGTCTGATGACAGACAGAAAGAGAGTTTTTCAGTCTAGAGGTCCTGCATTTCACACTCCTGAG